ACACAGTTACCGGGGTTAACCCAGACACCACACTAAGAGCTCTCGTTACCAGCTACATTTACCTAACTCTAAACCTGACCCTGTATAAACCAAACACAATTAAAGGAAACAGTTTAATATTAATTCTGTTTAGGTTTTTTCCTGGAATACAGGCCAAACAGACAACGGCTAGGTCCAAGGACGCACACCCAAATAGACGGGCACAAACGGAGCCGAGTGATGCCAGACGCCACCATTTATCTTTCTAAAAATAGACACTCCGTCATCGGAGTGTGACAGCTTGCACACAGACAAATACACAAACAAAAGGGCATACGCATACACACGACACATATTCAACCCCATGCACACTTTGACACTGACAGAGCTCCAAAGGAAGGTGTCAAGCATATCCAGTTTTAGTTTAGCAATGACGTTGCCTGTGGTTACCTGGAGAGGTGCCAACAGAGTATGATGAGGAGGGAGAGCTGTGATAGGTCAAGGCACCGGAGCTGCTCACAACGGTGGGCGTGGCCACACTGGAGGGCTTAATGACTTGGAGGTTTAGTGGCAGACAATCAGACAGGCTGTGATTCGTGGAGAAGTTCAGATGGGAAAATCCCTTGCTGAGTTTCTGAGGAGTCTTCTCTCCATCGGTGTCCATCTCCATGACTCCATCCTTGCGCTTCTTTTTACCACCCTCTGAGCCGTTCATCTCGCTGTCTGAATTACTGTCTGACTCTAAGAGAAGAGAGGCGAGAAGAGAGGACATGAGACAGTGTTTATGGAATTGCTCATTATAGCATGCCTTGTGTCATTGGTTGTATCAATGAACCAAATTAAAGGAATGGTCCACGTAAAAATGAAAATTCTGTTATAATTTACTCACTTTCAGTGGTTCCCACTGACTTGCATTGTATGGACAAAAATACAATGGTAGTTAATGGGAACCAAAATGTCTGGCTACAAACATTATTCAGAATATATTTTGTGTTTCGCAGAAAAAAGAAAGTCATACAGGTTTGGAAGTTGAGTAAATGGTGACAGAATTTTCATTTTTAGGTGGACTGCTCCTTTAAACAGAAATTGAAATAGCGCAATAGCAACATATATAATTTTCATAATCTGATCTATTTTGAAATAAAAATGCAATGATATTCAGCAATGAATAATTTAAGGAATATTTCTTTAGATCAGAATAATTTTTTTTTTTAAAACAAGTTAATTCATTGTTATCCACCACTATATACCATGAACTATTTACACAGAAATGTATGGTGAATTATTTTTTTTTTTTTCAATACATTTTCATTCCATTTAATCATAAAAAATTAGAGAATTTTAATTTCTGGACAATCTATTTCTATAATGCACTTACAAAACCTCTGTCCTTAGGCATCTCACCTGAGAGACTGTCATCTGAATCCTCTTCGTCATCATCCTCTTCATCCTCCACATCATCATCCTCATCATCTTCGTCCTCAGCAGAGTCATCTGAGTCTTTGCTGCTGGGCAGCTTTTGCTCAGCTCCGCTGTGTTGAAACAGGTCAACCAGAGACTGCACTAGGTGGTTCTGGGATAAACCCCTCCAGGCTTCTAATGCTTTGGGAGTCTTGCTCTTCCGGGGTTCACGGGTGCGGTTAGGAGTGGGAGACGCAGAGGCAGGGCTCTTACGGCCTCCCGTACTGAGGTTGACAGGCACATCTGAGCGAGGTTTGGTGGTAAGGGCCAACGGCATATCCTGGGTGCTTGGGACGACTCCATTAGGCTGGCCCAGACCCAGCAGGCCATGAGAGAAAGGCAGACTGGAGGAGGACACGCCTTGCACTGCAGGGGGCTTGGTCCTACCTGATGCTTCGGAGCTGAGCTTAAGAGGGAGTGCAGAGGAGGAGGAGGATGAAGATGAGGAAGAGGACGTGAGTGCCTCTGCCCTTTTGTTTATCTTATATGGGTCCTGCTGTTTCTTTAACTGGAGAGGAAACGTCTGGTCCTGGGACAGGAAAGACTGCAGAAGGAAAAACAAAGGGAACGATGATGGAAAGTAACTAAAACAAGTCTATATCGCATCCAGTCTAATTTACTAAAAAGCTTTGCACATCAACAGAAAAGGTTCTGTTATTCTGTTATATAGCAATATTTTCACTGGACAATGGGTGGACACATAAATATGTTCTTATTTTCAGGTAAATGATAAAAAAAAAAACATTAAAAGTGAAATAATATTACAGTTTAAAAAAAAACGTAAATTATGCTGGCATATTCAGCAAACATTATTTCATCTTCAGTGTCACAGAAATCCTTCTAAAATGCAGATTTGGTGCTCAGTTATTAGTGCTGCTCAATTATTAAAAATGGTTCTTATTATTATCAATGCTGAAAACAGTTTTTGCTGCTTAATATTTTTGTGGAAACTGACTTTTTTCAGGATTCTTTGGTGAACAAAAAGTTCAAAAGAACAGCATTTATATCAAACAGCAATCTTTGGTATTACAAATGTCATTATAGTGACTTTTGGTCAATTTAATGCATTCTTGCTAAATAAAAGTATTAATTTCCTTAATTACCTCAGACTTTTGAATGGTAGTGCATCACAGTTTCCACAAAAATATTAGGCAGCACAATTTTTTTCAACTTGATAATAATAAGAAATGTTTCTTGGGCACCAAATCAGCATATTAAAATGATTTCTGAAGGTTCATGTGATAATGGAGACTGGAGTAATGGCTGCTGAAATGGCTCTTTTTTTTTAATATAAAGGGCTGTTTACACCATTGATGATAACTTTTAACAATTAACTATTAAGTTTTAGCACACATAATTCTCTGAAAATACTGAACTCCACACCACAGCTATAATGATTACAACACAGAGGAACGATTTTGTTAGAATCACTTTCAGAACAATTTTTTTTTCAGCTAATAAAGCAGACAACATAACTCTTATTATAAATGCTTATAAAAACAGAACATTATTGTTCATTGGCATCGTCATTTTAGCTATCTTTATAGTTATCATTGAGAATGAGCCCATATATATAAATAACATATATAATAATATAAATAACACATACTTATAAATATATATTAAAATGAACATTCCACATGGGAATATGTGATTTTTTAATATGTCTGCTGGTATAGTTCTGGTATAGTGAATAAAACTCTTATTACTTAAATACTTATTACAGCAAGTACTGCTGTGGGACAATACTGTTTTTGAAACAAAGTGAAACAGGAGTGGATTTCCATGAACAAAGCACATCTTCAGAGAAAGTGAGATATGTATACCGAGAGCAAAGATGAGAGGAGTAAGAAATAACAAATTGACTGATAAACAAAGAGAGGGGAAAAACAGCAGAGAGGGAGAAGTGGAGATGTGGTAATTGCACTGGTTGTCATGTGGCTTAAGTGCTGGCGGAGGAAGAGAGTGAGTGAGCATAATGCTGCTCTGACTCACTGAAACGGAGAACAACAGCGCGGCCATGACTCTATCAGCTACACAACATTCATTAAGAAAGAAGGAATGCTCAAACTCTGCCTGCCTTCAACCACTCTGCTCAACCACTTGAAATCTTCATAGCACCATTATAGTTCCCAAACTCATGAACATGTATATATTAGAATAATAAACTGAAAATACAGGTTTACATTTTCTTCAGAAAACTGCTGTTTGTGAAACCATTGCTATGAGGTTGCTAGAACATTTTAGCTGTTTGATATGGTGTTGCCAAAAAGCCCAAGTCCAAGTGTCTATAGGCCAATTCACACAGCATCAACAGACGCATACCAATGCTGACAGCTGACAGAGTACAGTACGTCACTTCTCAGACATTTCAAGACCTTACAAACGCCAATTCAACATGTTCAATTGGCAAAAACAAGTGCCCACCAATGCCAATAACACAGACAGGGTCGCACACTGATTCGACAAACATGTTACAGTTTGTCTGCGTCTGTCGGTGCAGTGTGAACTGAACTTATGATGTTCTGGAGCATTGTAATAAGCCCCTGAAATATGTAACAGAAGTAAAAAAAAGATGGGTTTTTTTCAATATTGTGACATCCGAGTGGAACAAATTTTCAAAAAAAAAAAAAAAAGTGGGGCGGGGATTTGGTTCTATCCATCGGTTGTTGATTGGATGGAGGAAGATCTGAATAAAAGCTTGTAGTCAATAATAAGAAAGAGGCAGGGTTTATGCAGACAAAATAACTAGAGCAAAAGGTAAAAAAAAATAAAAAATAACGTATACATGGATGAATCGTTCATAGTAAGATCAATTATCAAAAACATGTATTTAGAAAATAGATTTGGTGAACTTTCATTTCATGCTGGCTTTGTTCATTTTATAGTCCGCTAGATGAAACTCTTGTTTTTAGGAAGCATTCAGACAGCACAAACACCAGATCCTCATGTATGAGCAAGAGTAACACTGTTAGTTGCCTTAGTAAGCACCACTAATAAAATCTAAATATTATGAAACTGTTCCTCACCGTAACATAATAATAAAACCACTCTGGTTAATTACAAGTAGAAGAAAAAAATTATATTAACCTCTTCAACAATAATTTCAAGGCAACAAAAGAAGAGGTGAGGAAAAGGCACTCGTTTGCTGAAATCTGGACCCTTAAGAAGTCATGGAGTTAATTGCCTGTTGGTTTTGCTTCAGTAATTCTAATAAAGCGACGCACATTGTCACTTTCATTTACCAACTAAAGCCACACAGTAGGGAAGCCAGTCCTACTGATAAGAGAATGTAGCTGTCCTTTCTGTCCTTCTCTCTGCATTTCTGTCTTCAACACATTCACAAACACACACACACACACACACACACACAAATAATTCTCTCTCCCCCTCACATTCTCCCTCTCCGTTACTCTGACCTTTTCAAATAGGGTGGTCAATAAGGAGAGACACGTCCTGAATACCAACAGCACCCTAAAAGCGATAATCCTAAATTGGCTTAAAAGATACGGACACAAACTGTGGATAATTTGCTTTAGCTGGTTTGCTTTTCTGGAAAATTAAAATGTGGACACCGGCCTTGAGGGAAAAGCGAGATTAATGTATGGACTTGAAGGATGAACAGTCTCACATTTCTCCTGCCAGACCGTGGCAGACTGTCTACTCACCTGTTTCAGCCTGTAGTCAGCAGTGACTTGTGCCAGAGAACTTTCCAGAATCTTCCTGCTGGTCAGAGCGTCCAGCGCTGGAGATTGGGACTTGCGGGAGGAAGCTCGAGACTGCGCTTTGAGGGAAGGGGTGAGAGGGGGCGGTTTGGGGGGGAGGGGCTGAGGTGAGGAAGTGAGGGGCTTGGTAGTGGCTGATGCGGTTTTTGGAGAGGAGGTGCGATGCTGTGGAGAATGTTTAGGAGAAATGTCTCTACGTGACTGTGCGATTAGCGCTAACGGTTTAGCGCCTGCAGCCAGGCCAGTGGACTGGATGACACTGGTGTGGAGGGGTCTTTCCCTGGCTCTGCTGCCCGATAGAGATAGCAGAGGGGGTTGAGACAGGCCTGGAGGAGGTGGAGAGCGATGCAGGTGCACTGGAGGAGAGGGCTCTAAAGGTGCACTGCCCAGCAGGCCTCCATGGAAGTCTTTGGCCTCCAACAGCCTGGTCTTTTCCTTCTTACTGAGCCCAGAGTTTGGCGTCACAATCTGCGGAAACAAGAGAGAAGAGAGAGAAGTCCACTTGTTGGTTAAGGTTTAGTTAACACTAACAACAGTCATATTGTGTTTTTAAACTCTCACCGACCCTCAGCATTAAATAGGTTGTTTTTGTTACTCTGCCTTTAAGACATCCACACTTTAAAAAATAGTTAGGTCTTCTTTTAAGATTTTTGTATTTGAATTACATATAAAAATTGTCATTTGCTTTATACAGTTTTAAAAAACTAATAAACTTAATGTGATGCATATTTGTCAGTCATACCTAAATGAAATAGATAACAAACAGGTAAGATTTCTGTACACAAAAAAATAATGCCACTGTTTGTCATTATTTTCATGTATTTGATTTTATTTAAATAATCATATTTTCAAAAATGGATTTATTCAAATTGCTTAGAATTAGCATAAATCTGTCCATTGTGGAAACAATTAAATATGTTGAGTTAAAATTATGGTTAAAATATGGATAGCTGTGAAATAAGCATTATTCACTTAGATAAAATATTTGAGATTCAAACAAATTTAATAAATTTTCGATAAATGTATAAATCTGGTTATTGTGTATTTAAAACACAGTCAGTTTATTAGAACCATTACATAAATCTTATCTGTTTTTTTTTCTGTTTCATTTATGTATGACTGACAAATATTATGCATTAAATTAAGTTTATTACTTTGTTAAAACTGTATAATCCAAATGGATGGAATTTTATATGCAATTCAAATATATAATTCTTAAATTAAGGTATAAATATTTTTTGAGTGCATATGTAAATTATCTGCAATTAAGCAGATATTTTTATCCAAAGTGACTTCCAATGCATTGGAGCAATCTGGGATTAAGTGGTACACAAAGGTAGGGTTCAAACCTGCAACCTTTTGGTTTCCTGCCCAAAAACAGTAATATGTGCAGCTAATCTGAGCAGCATCTTACTTTCATTTTCTTTTTTTTCTGCCGTTCCTTTTCTGAGTCTGACTCCTCACTGTCATTACTCTGCTCATCTTCCTCGTCATCATCATCATCTTCTTCCTCTCCAAGATCATCAATATCACTGCTGCTCACTCCGTCGCTGTCAGTATCCAGCGATGATCCAGATTCACTCTTGCTTACGCCAGACCCCTCTACCTGCTTCTTACGGGCTTTCTGCATGGGTTGACACAGACGTCAATCATGACTCAATTTTAATATTTTCAACAAATAATTAAAGAGTTGGTCATATATGAGAAGTTTTTTTGTGTTTAGACTGCACACTGCATGATCGTCCCTCATATGTATGTCATGATGTTGTACCTTCTCTTTAGGTTTCTGTGAGGGTTTCTCCTGAAGCTCCCCTGTGCTGTTGCTATGGTGACTGGCCTTGCGGTCGCGGGCTTTGGTGTTGAGTGTCCGGCTGTGTTCAGGGGGCCGGAGCGCGGGGGAGGGGGAGGCAGAAGCCGAAACCGCTCCTTTAGCCGCAGATGGAGACAGTGAACGACCATTCACAGCTCCATTCACACCTGCGCACAAAAGAGTTTACATAAAGCAATCAGATGCTTTTAAACTATGCAAATTCTTGCTACAAAAGAAAATAAATAAAGATTTACATCAACATGTATACTATGTCAAATAGCCTTTATCGGGGATTTGTGGAGTTAAAACTACAAAAGATCTCCTTATAAGCCACCTTATGAATTCATCACTGGAGGCGACTGCTCAAGGCGATGATTACTGTGAGTACACCAGCCTGAAGGCTACATTACTGCTGCATTACTTTTGTTTAACTTGAAGTCTGCCTCCAAGGGATGGCATACATTTTCCAGGAGGCAGATATAGACTAGGGCTTTACAGATGATTACCTTTGGAGGCCTGACTGCTCTTGTTGGGTGTTTTGGATGTGTAAGGATTGGCCTCATGGTTGTGAAGCGGCGGGGCAAACATAGGCGGCAGACCCAGAAAAGGTGGGAAGAAGGCTGGAGAACTCCGTCCATGTGCTTCTGCTGCTCTCCACCATTCTGAGAAAAGAAAGAGTAAATTACCTCTTAACTTTAGGGTAGACAATCTAAATGAGACAACTCAAATATAAATATTTGATTATATTATTATTATTATAAATGCTTAATAATAATAACAACAGTAATTTTCTTAATAATCAAAATAATCTTATTATTATTATCATTATTGTTATACTGGTATATACTAATACAATAAAATACTGTTACTTAATATTGATTTATGAAAATTATATTTTTGCTTTATTTAGTTTCATAGGACTTATCAGGACTTTTATTGTTATCAGGACTGCGGTCATGAATAAACGGCCACAAACGTAAGCATTTTTATTGTTATTATTATTATTGTAATTATTGTTATTACTGTTTTTATCACTATTATTGTTGTCATTGTTATTATATTGTTATTATTGTTATACTGTTATATACGCCATCAAAATATAACATTTTTACTTAATATTTGTTTATGAATATTTATTCATTTAGGTACATTGGTGTCATCAGGGCTTCTGTCATGAATAAACAGCCATAAACACTGTTGTTATCATTAATAATAATAATAATTATTATTAGTAGTAGTAGTATTATAGCTATGGTTATACTGTAATATTATATTGTTATTATTGTTATACTGTTATATACGCCATCAAAATATAACATTTTTACTTAATATTTGTTTATGAATATTTATTCATTTAGGTACATTGGTGTCATCAGGGCTTCTGTCATGAATAAACAGCCATAAACTGTTGTTATCATTAATAATAATAATAATTATTAGTAGTAGTAGTAGTATTATAGCTATGGTTATACTGTAAAAAACTATTATAATATAACATTATTACTTAATATTGGTTTATGAATATTATATTTTTGTGTCATTTGGTTACATAGGATTTTGTGTCATCAGGCTTTCGGTCACACACATACCTGTGAAGGCCCCTAGTTGTGGATGAGCTGCGAGGGCAGCAGAGACCCCCAGTCCTCCTAGACCCCCAAACTCTGGGCGGGCTGTCACCGGTGATAGCAGACCAAAGGCTGGGTGGGCCATGAGCGGGTACGCACTGGGCAGAGAGGTCACTGAGCTGACGCTGAAGGGCTGGTCTCCGCCAGTCAACCCAAACATTGGACCTGCCCCATCAAACACACACACAAACAAAACACCATGACATGTTCAGCCTCTGAAGCCACATATCTGGAAATGACTATGAGCAATGCTCATGAAGCTGCATTTTCAGCCACAAAGGCCAAAGTCCAAAAAAGGAGACAGCATGAGCAATTTGTCTTTTGCACTGTTTGTCAGTAATGTGTGTTTAGATGTACACATGCGAGCAGACGTGGAGGGGTTTCCCCGCATGTCACCAGAAGTTAGCTAAATATGATGAGTTCATTTGGGGACGACTTTCAAAATGCTGAAAGTTTTCTATTAGGAGTAGGGACAGTCTATTGTATTGATAATTAAATAATAAATTCAAATTATATAATTATTTATAATAAAAAAAAACAGTCTATGTTATGCCTTCATTTAGGCCTCTTAGTAAACGTGTGTGTGAGACTCTATGAGAGACAGTTCGATGGCTGTTAATGTTAATGTAATCACAGGCTTTCCGACAGCATTTGATTAATAACTATGACCAAATGAAAGTCTCCGCGTGATAGAACAAGGAAGAAGTGGGAGAGAAGACGCCCAAAGTGCTCTGGCATCTCCACGATATTCTATAAGATATCACAGCACCCTCTCTGAGTTCGATAAATCACTTCAATCTCTTGTTTGACATTGTATAGGCTCTCGGTATACATGTAAACACAGAGCTCTTCGTATTAATCATCGTCAATCATCATCCAGATTGCATCCTTTCTGGGATCGATCTCCTCTGGCAGCGCTGATGCTGCCCATTGTCTCCTTCAGGAGTCACATGTAATTTCTAAGCCGCATATTTCATGCAAATTCAATTTCCATTAGGGAGCACAGAGAAGAAAGGCTTGAGCGCACCGTTCCGCCAGCGCAGCACCGCACCAGCGCTCTCTCTCTTGCGCGCACACACACAGAGAAAAGCGATGATGGGAAATGCAGGATTTTTGCAGATAGCTATAACTCCAGGAGGGACGGAGAGGAGGAGAGGGCCTTGACTTCCCTTTGCTGTTGTTTATGTTTGAAGACTGTAGGAACTGTTTGCTGCATGCTGATTTTTTTTGCAGGATTTTTCCTTGGAGTCCACTTTAAATGTTTGTCCACTTGAAAAGTCCAAGAAAACAGTCATAATTTAGTTTTACATGACCATTTTCCACTCTCTCTCTCTCTGACCCTTAAAAACAAGCTGTTTTTCTTACAATACCTTTAAAAAATAATAATAATAATTGACCCAAAAAATGAAAATTTTGTCATTATTTACTTCCTTTCTTGTCTGTCAAAACCCATATTGCCTATATGATATAAATGTCAGTCTGTTCCTCACACTAAATGTCTTAATAAAGGTGCGCTCATGTTGTTCTGTGAATTTCGTGCGGTCAACAGAAAGCTGTTTGGTTTGAAAGTGAAAGCTTCATACATCACTTCACTACTGACAACAGACAAATGGACCTATTTTACCAGCAAAATTTTGCTTATGTGACGACACCCTAAGACATTGAATAAAGTGCACCCTGAGTCATATTGACTGCATTTACGATTCTTTGATGTCATTTCATCTTGACACAATGCTGCTCGCCAGTCTAAGCATTTTTTTTACATTTTCCATTTATTATCCACAGAAGAAAAAAAGACACAAGGGTTGAGTAAATGATGACAGTATGGGTTACTATTCCTTGTAAAGCCAGAGTTGTACTGTAGTGTTGTAGTGAAAAATGTAGTGAAGTTATTTTATTTATTTTGAAACGAGGTACAAACTTTAACAGACAGCATGTTACATTTCCATGACTGTATTTAAGCACATCACGTCAGCTATTTTCTGACAGCCATTTAGAATCAGAACTAGTGGCGCTAGTTTTGTGAATAATCGTATAGAACATGTTCAATTCAATTTGTGATTCCATCTTAATCATCCAGACATCTCACTTACCCACTACTTCTAATTAGTGACCATTGTTTTGTTTTGATCTCTCCCCTGTGCTTCTGCGCAAAGCTGACCTCATACGTCATTCCCCCAGAACTGCTTCCAGTGTACAACAGTGAGCGCAAGCTACATTAAAGTGATTATTACATACATTATTGCATTCATGTCTTGCATTAAACAAAATACATGTGTGTAAATACATCTAAATGCCACTTCAGATGCAGCTTCTGTGTTGATTTAATTTGCTTGGTAACAGCCCAAATGTCTTATTATTCTAATTCCCTGATTAAATGTAAGAATTTGACTCAAAAGATAATGGACACTTTTAGAAAAAATGGCTTTATAAAGGTAAAAATGCCCATACAATGCAAAAATCAGTTTAAACTTATTGGAAAAGATTAATTTCTATCAGTATGAACTGACCACCACACAGAATATGAAGAATATTAAAAACATTAGGAGTCAGCTGTCTTCGGCAGTCCTTAAGGTACCAGCACAATAACACACTCAGCAAAATATCGTCTAATTATCGTTATCGATAAAATCCCATAAAATATCAAGATATAATTTTTTGTCAATATCACACACCCCTACCTGTGAAATTATGCCCCTGTAATTCAATACTGATGGCTTCAAAGCGATACCTGGGGACCGACATCTGAACTATCTTTCATTAAGGCTTATTATTAATGTAGTGAAGTTATTTTATTTATTTTGAAACGAGGTACAAACTTTAACAGACAGCATGTTACATTTCCATGACTGTATTTAAGCACATCACGTCAGCTATTTTCTGACAGCCATTTAGAATCAGAACTAGTGGCGCTAGTTTTGTGAATAATCGTATAGAACATGTTCAATTCAATTTGTGATTCCATCTTAATCATCCAGACATCTCACTTACCCACTACTTCTAATTAGTGACCATTGTTTTGTTTTGATCTCTCCCCTGTGCTTCTGCGCAAAGCTGACCTCATACGTCATTCCCCCAGAACTGCTTCCAGTGTACAACAGTGAGCGCAAGCTACATTAAAGTGATTATTACATACATTATTGCATTCATGTCTTGCATTAAACAAAATACATGTGTGTAAATACATCTAAATGCCACTTCAGATGCAGCTTCTGTGTTGATTTAATTTGCTTGGTAACAGCCCAAATGTCTTATTATTCTAATTCCCTGATTAAATGTAAGAATTTGACTCAAAAGATAATGGACACTTTTAGAAAAAATGGCTTTATAAAGGTAAAAATGCCCATACAATGCAAAAATCAGTTTAAACTTATTGGAAAAGATTAATTTCTATCAGTATGAACTGACCACCACACAGAATATGAAGAATATTAAAAACATTAGGAGTCAGCTGTCTTCAGCAGTCCTTAAGGTACCAGCACAATAACACACTCAGCAAAATATTGTCTAATTATCGTTATCGATAAAATCCCATAAAATATCGAGATATAATTTTTTGTCAATATCGCACACCCCTACTTGAGGGTGAGTAATTTATGGGCTAATTTTTTATTTTTGGGTGAACTAACCCTTTAAGGCCTGTCCTTTTTAATTCTCACACACAAAAATCCAGTACAGCCTGTATGTTTTGGGGGTTTGTTCTGATATAGACAGTGGCGTCGAAAGAAGGAAAAAAGGATGAAAAGAAAGAGCTTGAGAAGGAGAGAGGCGGATGTGAAGATAAATGAGAGGAAATATTCTCCCAAAGACCATCATCCGCTCCTGCTGGCACACACACACACACACACACAAACACACAGAGTGGCAGAAACGCCAGTTTCATATTAATGCGCTTTCAGCCGGCAATAATTAAATCAGCCTCTGAGAGGAGCAGAGCAGAATTACCGGATTACCTGATATCCTTCTTATTTTATCTTTCTCCTTCGTTCTCTCTCACCGTCTCTCTCTTTCTTCGCTTGTCCCCCACCCCCCCACCAACACACCTTCCCATGTTCTCCATCTTCTGACAAACCGAGCCATCTTGAAAAGCGGCACTGTCCTCCCCCACCTGTGTCCTCGTTCGCTCTCTTATGTGGGATGCGGCTGAAGCCGATTAATGTGCCCTCCGTTTGCATCAATCACATTTCTACAGACACATCTGACAGCCGACTTAATTGTCTGTGTGTCTGAGGGGGACGGCGAGAAAAAGTGCGAACATGTGGCCGCCGTTTGTTCTGCGAGAGGTTAAAATATTCTCTGTTTCAGCCCAGATGCACCTCGTTCTCAACCTGAACATCATCTATCGCTCTGGCACGCTTGTGGGCCGGTGATTTAGTGGGACAAAGTGTTAATTGCGTTTAAAGCGGTAATGATAGCGCTGTGAGAACCTGTCGAGGGATAGTCTCATTCTGAACGTTAATCAGCTCAACTAGGACTGAATTACCGAGGTCCTCTTGTCTGTTTAACCCAAGTAAATCACTTTTTTTTTTTAATGGATCATTCTGTTTTTGGATTTCTTTCCATTTTTTAATCACATGAGCAGGAATGCTTACTGTACAGAATATTACAGGCAATCACAGCTATAGTGATATTCAGTAATACAGCACTCTTGCTTATAAAATATTGTTTTACATAAAACTGTTCTATAAATAAAAAGTTAATATTAAGTACTAGACACAATATGGCCAGTTATTTTATTTTCGCACAGCCAACAAAAATAGTCCCAAGAGAGGACAAAGCAGGATCAAGTGCTGGAATTCTATGTAGCAATCACAGACAAGTGGAGTGATGCAAACTGTCCCAAATGAACTATTTAATGGGTTACTGAAAAACTAGCTGGCTAACTGGTCTTCAGGATGCCTAGAATAATTAGGCTGGTTTCAGGTTCATTAGTGAAGCAGAAAGAAAGGAATATGTCGAATTATTTTTGTCTTTACTCACTGTCGCAACGCAATGAGAATAATGCAAGATGATCAAAAAGAGCAACAAAAACATCTGATGTCCATGTTTGACTGTATTAAATTTAAAGACTAAACGTCTCAGAGAATTGAGTTTTATAGCATGATTTAAAGGTGTTTTTTGACCTAGCATGCATGCCCACCTGTTGTTGGGGACTCCCAAAACCA